AGGGGACTAAACTCTTCATTTGTTGTACTAGTCCCAAAAAAGATAATCTTGTTGACTTAAAAGACTACAGGCCCATTAGCTTGATTAATAGTCTTACAAAATTATACACTGACGGTTTTCCTTGTGCAGTTAAAACTAAAGGTTTTTGTTACTTATACCGTTAAAATTGACAATTTATGTTATACACTAACAATTTCCATCAATGTGCAATAAAGTGTGAAGTTGTAGAAGAAGTAAAAAGAAACGAAAAGGCAAAAAGATGAAAGAAAAGTTTTGAGGCATGATATCACTTTCCTTAAGGATTCAAAATCCTTCCAGATACAACAGAACACAAAACTCAAAAAAAGATATAGAACTATGACTTTGCATAAGAATTTATATTGCTTGAACAATCACTTCTTGTAGAGATATATCCCTATAGAAAGACAATATTTCATAGAGATACCTAATGATTGCCAAAAGTAATATCTGTTTTTCAAACATGTCTTTCCAAGTTTGAATTTAATAAAATAAAATAAAAATTTTGAAAATAATAAAATTAAAACATATATATATGTTCTAGCAGTCAAGCCTCAAGGTGCCTCTGCTAATAATGGTCATTTACAAGAGAATCTAACATCTTCTTGTTGAAGCGGCACCATTTCTATGACCATTTAGGTGGAGTTCTTTATGTCCTTGTTGTTATAGACATTTAGTAATGATCAACTCCATTAAGAGTATACACTCATCCTCCAAACGCACATTTAGGTGATGGAGTTCTTTATGTCCTTGTTGCTATAGCTATTTAGTAATGATCAACTCCATTAAGAGTATACACTTATCCTCCAAAACACAACAGGCAACACTTGACTAAAGTAAGAATAGGTATCAAGTGCTAAATAGGCATATATAGTAACTTGTTCTTGCCCAAGTTCACATCTTTGACTATATATAAAGGCCAAGACCCAATTTATCTTGGGTTTCACTTTATTTATCTATTTATTGAAAAAGTAGGCCTTTATAAACTCCTTTAAGTTCCCATACTTTCTTGATGTGGGACCTTATCATTTGCAAACTATTTAACATTCCCCCACTAGTTTGGAAATATTAATTTTGTTCTACTCAATAAAAAATATGCTTAAAGAAGATATCTCTCAATTTAAACCTTCTATTAGTGTACATACTTTACATCTAACAAAGTTATTGGTGTCCAAGGATTAAACCATAACTTCTTATATTGGACATAAGTGTGTGACACATATAACACTTCTATCTAATCCAAGAGGTTTAAGAAACCTTTTAGCACTATTATGGCTATGTGCTCATCCTGCTAATAATGGTCATTTACAAGAGAATCTAACATTTTCTTGTTGAAGTAGCACCACTTTTATAACCATTTAGGTGGAGTTCTTTATGTCCTTGTTGCTATAGACATTTAGTAATGATCAACTTCATTAAAAGTATACACTCATCCTCCAAAACGCCACAGACAACACTTGACTAAAGTAGGAATAGGTATCAAGTGCTAAACAAGCATATATAGTAAATTGTTCCTACTTAAGTGCACAATTTTGACTATATATAAAGGGCAAGGCCCAATTTATCTTGAGGTTCACTTTATTTACTATTTGTTAATAAAAAGTAGGCCTTCATAAACTCCTTTAAGTTCTCATACTTCCTTGATGTGAGACCTTATCATTTGCAAACTGTTCAACATTCCCCTACTAGTTTGGAAATGTTAATTTAGTTCTATTCGACAAAAAATATGCTTAAAGAAGATATTTCTCGATTTAAACCTTTTATTAGTGTACATACTTTATATCTAATGAAGTTATTGGTGTCCAAGGATTAAACCATAACTTCTTATATTAAACATAAGTGCGTGACACACATAAAACTTGTCTATCTAATCCAAGAGGTTTAAGAAACCTTTTATCACTATTATGGCTATGTGTTCATCCTGCTAATAATGGTCATTTACAAGAGAATCTAACATCTTCTTATTGAAGAGGCACCACTTCTATCACCATTTAGGTGGAGTTCTTTATGTCCTTGTTGCTATAGATGTTTAGTAATGATCAACTCCATTAAGAGTATACACTCATCCTTCAAAACGCCACAGATAGCACTTTACTAAAGTAGAAATAGGTATCAAGTGCTAAAGAAGCATATATAGTAACTTGTTCTTGCCCAAGTGCACATCTTTGACTATATATAAAGGGCAAGGCCCAATTTATCTTGAGGTTCACTTTATTTATCTATTTGTTGATAAAAAGTAGGCCTTTATAAACTCCTTTAAGTTCCCATACTTTCTTGATGTGGGACCTTAACATTTGCAAACTATTCAACATTCCCCCACTAGTTTGGAAATGTTAATTTAGTTATACTCAACAAGAAATATGCTTAAAGAAGATATCTCTTGATTTAAACCTTCTATTAGTGTACATACATTATATCTAATGAAGTTATTGGTGTCCAAGGATTAAACCATAACTTCTTATGTTAGACATAAGTGTGTGACACACATAAGACTTGTCTATCTAATGCAAGAGGTTTAAGAAACCTTTTAGCACTATTATGGCCATGTATTCATCCTGCTAATAATGGTCATTTACAAAAGAATCTAACATCTTCTTGTTGAAGCAACACCACTTCTATGACCATTTTTTTTTTTTTGTTATTTTTAATTAAAGTTTTTTCCTTTTTGATTGTTCAAATAAATTTAGATTAATTATTTTGGTACTTAATTAATTGCAATTCTCATGGATTTGACAATCTTTTCATCATTATATTATTTGGAACGACTAATGCACTTGTTAGAGTAATTGTAGTGCATCATTATATTACTTGAAATGACTAATATACTAGTTTGAAAATGTTAATTTAGTTTTACTCAACAAGAAATATGCTTAAAAAAGGTATCTCTCAATTTAAACCTTCTATTAGTGTACATACATTATATCTAACGAAGTTATTGGTGTCCAAGGACTAAACCATAACTTCTTATATTAGACATAAGTATGTAACACACATAAGACTTGTCTATCTAATCTAAGAGGTTTAAGAAACCTTTTAGCATTATTATGGCCATGTGCTCATCCTGCTAATAATGGTAATTTATAAGAGAATCTAACATCTTCTTGTTGAAATGGCACCATTTCTATGACCATTTAGGTGGAGTTCTTTATGTCCCTATTGCTATAAACATTTAGTACTAATCAATCCATTAAAAGTATACACTTATCCTCCAAAACGCAACAAACAGCACTTGACTAAAGTAAGAATAGATATCAAGTACTAAACAGACATATATAGTAACTTGTTCTTGCCCAAGTGCTCATCTTTGACTATATATAAAAGGCAAGGCCCAATTTATGCAAACTATTCAACATAAAATGTATGTATTATTATCCCTTAAAGTTATCAGTGATAACACCTTTACCGTGAGGTGAGCCGAGAAAATTTTCAATCAGTTATGTGTGGAGTAGCTTGACTAATTCATGATTCTGACCCCTAAAAATCTTGATATCGGTTACTTTATCATAATCAACTTCAATTTTAATAAACTTCCCCACCACCCCCAACTTCAATTTTAATAATATTGCACTTAATTTGGTGCTTAACCACTTCGCTTATGATTCAATAATATGATAATTTCACAATAGAACTGGTGCGGCTCTGTCGAACCAACCAATATTGATAGTTTGTTGGGAAAAAAAAATGATGGCAGTTTTGCTGTAACATAGACAGTTTTTTTTTTAGTTTGTCCTACAAGAAAATAAAATGTCTGAAAATATTATCTGCATCTACTATCACTTTTTGTTGTTATTACTATTGCATTGGCTCCGACGAGGGCTGTGGAAGGAGAGTAGTTGATCGGGGTAGGGAGCTATGACATGACAGGGCCAGCTGCCGGGGTGAACATGATGGGCTACGCCAACATGGATCAGATATCGGCCGGCATCCATTTCTGGTTAAGAGCTAGAAATTTCATCGTGGCTGAGAGTTCTCGAGGTCCCAGGTTTGCCTTCGTCAATCTTGACGCAGGAATGGCTTCACAGCTAGTCACCATTAAAGTTCTAAAAAGACTCAAGTTAAGGTACTATAAAGAAAACAAGAGAAGTTAATAATTTAAAGTCTATTGGGCACAGTTTCTAAAATGATTTTCATTTCTGTGAAAGTTAAACTTGCACTAAATGCAGTTTTTCATTTTTTTTTTTTCAACAAGTTAGTATAGTTCCGGACTATTAAAAAAAATCATTTTGTATTTTAGAAGTGTTTTTAGCTTTTTAAGAGTTGTTTAGTTGGTTATTTTATATAAAATCATAATTATACATTTTTATGAAAACTTTATTCAAACAATATCTTTACAAAATTTACAATTAAATCAATCAGAATCTTAATTGCTGATCTTATACTTATCTTTGCTTGGAAATTTGAATGTTTGGAGATTTGTACACTGAAGAAAATTTGGCGATTAGTGGTACACATATAAATGCAGGGCCTGGACGATACTCGCAATATGTAGTGCACTCTGTTACTTCTTTGGGATTTGTCCAGCAATCTTTTGATTGTATCAGAACTCTTTTCCTTCATCTTCATGAAAGTCAGGATTCGATTCCAAGTCCTTAATACAGTCGTCTGGGGACTTCGCAAACATTCAATTTAACAGTACTTATAAATTGCAGGTATCCAAATGAAGTGCTGAGCACAAAGATTATTGGGGAGAGGCAATTTCAGAAGACTGTTGAACCATTTAGTTCTGCCACTAACCAATTAACGGGAAGAATTGATTATCGCCAGGTGTATCTGAACTCCACTAACATTGAGGTGGAATTAGATGGGAACACCGTGGTCAAGACTTGTCCGGTGGCTCTAGGGGTTTTTCTGCCGGAACTACATATGGACATGGGGTCTTTGGGTTTCAACAAGGTGATACAAAGGTCTGTATCTGATTTTTTGAGCCATGGATTTGAAGATTTCCATCTGGGTTGGGATCAGTTTGGTTTATTGTTTGGAATTTGGATGCAGGGAAACTAAAGTAACATGCTTTCTGGCTTCTACAGTTTAATGAGTTCTGGAAAAAAAGTGAGGGATTTGTTGAAGGAGCCAAGCCAGTATCAGGTGGACTGCCAAAAACCCAAGGCAGTCTTGCTTGACACTGAAGAAATGTTTGAACCCTATGCTTGGGCGGTAAGAGCTGGATAGACCCCTTGGTTTCTAAAATTTCTAGATTTGATGCTAAAATTTGCTGAACATGTTTATGCAGCCAGCTATTCTTCCAATTCAAATATTTGAGATTGGGGAAGCTTATCATACTATCTGTACCAGGAAGTAGTTTCTCTTTTATGGTACTATTCTATTATTCGGTCACGAAATCACTTAATATTTTAGTTTCAAATATACATCATGATGAAATGATTCATGTCAGATAAATGCAGAGTTCACAACAAGGACTGGTCGGAGACTGAGGGAAGCAGTAAAGGAGACATTGATAAGTACTGGAAATGGAGAATTCGATGATGAAACTCACGTAATAATAGCAGGGCTGACGAACACTTATTCCCAATATGTTGCAACTTTTGAAGAGTATGTGCAGCAAAGACACGAGGTATGAGACAACTGCAATTTAGTAGAAAAGGCAAATCTTTATTACATTATAATTAACCCTATGTTTGGGTTGAGGGGAATGGAGGGGAGGGGAGTTTTTTAACAAATCAAATTAAAAAAAAATGCCCAAGATGAAAGAGATCAATGAAGATGTAAATATGCATCATATGGTATTTTTGACATGCCCTCATGCTTATATGCAATGAAGTATGCAGGCTGCATCCACACTCTATGATCCTCATACATTATCAGCTTATATCCAAGAATTGAAGAAACTGGCAGAAGCAATGGCTAAAGGAAAAATGACACTTAAGACACTAGACCTTTCCTCTGTCCAACTCAGCCTCCTGCCTGACCCTTCTGGTGACTCACACCCCCCCACCCCCAGGCAAAAAGTTTGGTGACATGAATCAAGATGTCACGCAATCAAAGGGTGGTTTATTCAAGAAGGGAGATAAACCAAATGCTACTTTTTGGAGTGCTAAACCCAAGATATGACCTATTGACAGAAGGCACTTTTGCAGTAGTAGAGATGTTTCAAGGGGAATGGGGGATTCCAGTTTATGATGATGATGATTTCTCCTTGAAATTCAAGTGGAAGGTGGATAATGTTACTTTCTATGGCTTGGCAACCCTCGAATGGGAAGTGCTGGAGGAGGCTAGCCCTGCGGTCTATAGGTTCAGGCACTTTGGCTCATCTATGAAAACAAAGGATTCTCCAACAAGTACTTTACTGGTGCATCTAGTGCATTTAATGCATCATAGAGGCAATAAGTGTTAATCATATCTTGTTGTAGTGCAAGACGAAGGGAAGATGTCAGATGTTTGCACTGAAATAAGGTTTCTGAATAAATGCATGCATCAGTGAGTTTATGATTTACTGAACCCTAAATCTCCTATATATATATATTAATATTATTATGATTAGGACATGTATGTCTAGAAATAAGAGTGTCAATAAGGCATACTTAGGATGATAAAGAAGGAACTTACTCATTTGTCCATCCAGATCACGCATCGAATACACTTCCCTTCAATAAGTAAATCGAAGGCTTTATTGATGTCTTCAAACTTCACTTCATGAGTGACGAATTCATCGAGGTGCAGTTCCTGAAAATATGACATGTACAAAGACTTCCTTTTAATCTCACCTCAAGTTAATACAATATATTAAGCTGTTATTTCAAAGAAGAAAAAAAAATGAGAGAGAAAGAGCAGAGGGGATATAAGATCAACTTTGTAGGTGTGGACATGCAACTTGTAAGGTGTCCTATGCAATTGATGGACCTTAAGAAACATCATAAACCATAAAACAAGCCATGATGAAGGATCATCATAAATGTGAGAGTAAACACAAGTAAATAATAAATAAATATTTTACCTTGTCTTCATAGCGTTTCAAGAGAGTTGGAATATCAGATTTAGCTTTGATTCCTCCAAATAGGGATCCTGTAATCGTTTTCCCACTGTGGAGTAGCTCTACAGAACTGAAGTTCAATTGTGCTCCTGGTTCCACTCCTAAAACAATCGTCTTTCCCCAACCCTGTATTTAACACTTGAAGGTTGGCACATTACATTTGTTTAAGTTATGCAGCACAACATGTAAAGTCATCTATTTCTATTAAAATGTCATTTGTCCTAAACTCACCACATAGCTAGTATTACATGTGATATATTTAAAAGAATGCACTACAGGCCAGCCTGCATATTAGATCATCGGCAGAAGAGAAGAAATGAAGTACATACCATAATATAAAGCGTAAGACATTATGGAAGATAGTGTTTTGGAAAGTCCATTATAACCTTACATTTTATGGTGCTCAAACTAAGCAAACATTACGGGTTTCAAGATCATAGAAAGCGTGAGATATGTTGAAAGCCTAAAATAAATATATTTCCTGCATAACTTGATTCTCATGTAGTCATGTTAAACTCATGGACAAATTGTCAAACTCAATTTTGAACGTATTCAATGAGTCACTTTCTTTTTTCTTTCCAACTCTAAAAGTCCAGTTCAAGATGCAAAGCCCTAGAATGTGATGCAATGACTTAATACATAGAAAATATGCACACGATCTTGACAACAACATCTGAGTATCCTTGTACAATAATTTGCAAAGGATGTGCTTTTGAAGCGTGGCGTGAATGAATGTGTCTATGAATGTGAAAGTATAAAATAAAAACCTTTCTGCATGAAGCATAGGCTTCTTGCACCAAGGATGACAAGCCAACACTTTCAAAGCAGTAGTCTGCCCCCCCACCAGTCATCTCATTGATCACCTGTTCACAGTGAGAAAAAAAAAAAAAGAAAAAAAACAGCTGATAATTAGTGTTTCAAGATTCAACTGAAATATAGTTTACCAATTCAATATGGAAAGTTAGTCATGAATAAAGACAAATACCTGGCTCACAGATTTATCTCCACAGCTGCTTGAATCAACAAATTCTGTGACTCCAAATCTTTGTCCTGTGTGTGGATAAGAAAAGGAAAGGATCATTTATAAACCATGCAAACAACACAAATCATTTGTAGAATAAAGTCCCCTACCTAAAACGATAGTAAACCTAATAAATTATTATAATCATTCCTCACTATGCATACACATATGGTAATATAAGTGGGTCTTGTTGAAGACATTGTGGAATCATATAAGAGCATTGTTGCTCTTGAAAGAAAGAAAAAGAAAAAATGCTGAAATATTCTGATTATATCTTCCAAATAGGTTCTGGACTTTGCAAAAGTTCAATCTCAAGCATCTGGTCAATATACTCACCAATCTCGAATTTCTCAGGATTCAAGTCCACACCTATAATCCTAGTTGCACCACAAAGTCTTGCTCCCTCTGCAACCTACAAACCAACAAAGCTGTAAGCATTTCATGGTAATTTAACCTATTGAACACTCCTTAAAAGGTTTTCTGCAAAATCATACTGCTAATCCTACTGAACCCAGCCCAAATATAGCAACAGTTGATCCTGCCTCCACATTTGCGGTTCTCCATGCAGCACCAACACCTTCAAAATAAGTAAATTTGTTACTGCCAGGATTGACATTTGATAGCGCAATGTGTATACGACAGAGCAGAATAAAATTTGTTTCTCCAAATAATATTAGACAATAAAATATATAGAGTATGAGCTAAATTCAAGTGTAAGCATCGAAAGGTCAGAAGTCATAATAATGAGTGAAGATTCAACCTAAGTTGTAATAGCCAGGCTGGGCACAATCAAGTCGTCATTGATAGAAATGCACCAGAGCTAAAAACCATAAGAATTATAAATTATAACCTTTCTTTTTCTATCATTATATGGCATCACATTTTGGTTAACAACCAACTGGAAGGAAACATAATTGGTGATACAATTTACAATACTGTACAAAACTGTATGTATTGACCAGACTTTCAAGTCTAACTGTTCAACATCCACTAAATAAAAGACATTACCTGTTGATACTCCACAGCTTAGGAGGCATGCCCTATTTGGAGGGATAGCAGGATCAATTTTTACTACATGGGCAACATCTACCACTGTATACTCGCTAAAGCTAGAAACAAACAGAAAATGGTATAAAGGCTCTCCATTAAGATCTGTGAATCTGGTGGTGTCATTTCTAGGCATCCAAGGCTTTGGCCCGAAAGGAAGTTTTGAACATAGGTTGCTTTTCTTTGATCTGCAATCTGCACAGTCTCCACAATCTGCCATGAAGGTCGGAATGACAGTATCTCCTTCCTTTACCTCTTCAACATTCTCTCCCACACTCTCCACAACCCTAAAATAAAACATTA